AGGGATGGTTAGGATTTGCTTTGGGGGGTTACGGCTCAAACCGTTTAGGAATTAGGGGCAAAAAAGGGGAAAAAACAAGGTTGTCCTGGTTAATGGACAAATACTTTAGTACAAAACATAATTTAAAGCAGTGTAAGGGAGATAAATCAAATACATCATTGAAATTATCTCCCTTACACTGCTTTTAAATTATGTATAAAGTAATGGTTAATGAACAATAAAGATAATCTAAAACAGTGTAAGGGAGGTAATCCAAATACAACGTTTTGGTTACTTCCCTTACACTGCTTTTAAATTATGTTTAAAGAAATGCATATTTATAAAGGAAGACCAGTAAAAATATCTGCAAATGTTTTCATCTTTTTTTTTTACAAAAAAATCCATATGAAAGATTTGACACTATATTTTTATTAATTCTATTATAAAATAGATTAAGTTAGCACTATGGTAAATTTAAATGGGTAATTATGGTTGCCAACTCCATTGGAAATTTGAATTGAGATTTTGACCATATCTTGAGGGAAAGAATTTTTGGGGGGAAAAAAAGGGGGGGGGGATAAAAAGAAATTGTGGGGGGGGGGGGGGGGGGGTCAATTTTTTCTCATTTCAGATTTCAGAAATTAAAAAGAATTATTCTTCAAATATTATTTTTTTTTCAAATTTCAAATATTGAAAAATTTCAAGAAGTAATCTTTAATTGCACAGTATGGCGCATTAGATTTGTAAAATCTTTAATCACATTTATTTATTTGTTATGCCGAATCTAACAGTGTATTTAGATTTTTAATTTTGGGTCCAGTTTTCAAATTGGTCTACATTAAGGTCCAAAGGGTCCAAAATTAAACTTTGTTTGATTTTAGCAAAAATTGAATATATGAGGTTCTTTGATATGCTGAATCTAAACATGTATTTAGATTTTTGATTTTTGGCCCAGTTTTCAAGTTGGTCCAAATTGGGGTCCAAAATTAAACTTTGTTTGATTTCATCTAAAATTGAATTATTAGGGTTCTTTGATATTCCAAATCTAACCGTGTATTTAGATTTTTAATTTTGGGTCCTGTTTTTTAAATTGGTCTACATTAAGGTCCAAAGGGTCCAAAATTAAACTTAGTTTGATTTTAACAAAAATTGAATTCTTGGGGTTCTTTGATATGCTGAATCTAAACATGTGTTTAGATTTTTGATTATGGGCCCAGTTTTCAAGTTGGTCCAAGATAGGGTCCAGTATTTAAACTTTGTTTGATTTCAACAAAAATTGTATACATGGGGTTCTTTGATATGCTGAATCTAAACATGTATTTAGATTTTTGATTATGGGCCCAGTTTTCAAGTTGGTCCAAATTGGGGTCCAAAATTAAACTTTGTTTGATTTCATCAAAAATTGAATTATTGGGGTTCTTTGATATGCCAAATCTAACCGTGTTTTTAGATTTTTAATTTGGGTCCCGTTTTTTTTAAATTGGTCTTCATTGAGGTCCAAAGGGTCCAAAATTAAACTTAGTTTGATTTTAACAAAAATTGAATTCTTGGGGTTCTTTGATATGCTGAATCTAAACATGTGTTTAGATTTTTGATTATGGGCCCAGTTTTCAAGTTGGTCCAAGTTGGGGTCCAAAATTAAACTTTTTTTGATTTCAACAAAAATTGAATATATGGGGTTCTTTGATATGCTGAATCTAACCATGAATTTAGATTTTTTATTTGTGGGCCCCGCTATCAAATTGGTTCATATTGAGGTCAAAAGGGTCCAAAACTAAACTTTGTTTGATTTCATCAAAAATTGAATTATTGGGGTTCTTTGATATTCCAAATCTAACCGTGTATTTAGATTTTTAATTTTAAGTCCTGTTTTTTAAATTGGTCTACATTAAGGTCCAAAGGGTCCAAAATTAAACATAGTTTGATTTTAGCAAAAATTGAATTCTTGGGGTTCTTTGATATGCTGAATCTAAACATGTGTTTAGATTTTTGATTATGGGCCAAGTTTTCAAGTTTGTCCAAGTTGGGGTCCAAAATTAAACTTTGTTTGATTTTAACAAAAATTGAATATATGGGGTTCTTTGATATGCTGAATCTAACCATGTATTTTGATTTTGGACATTGGACCATAATAGGCAAATTAAAAAAATTCAAGTTCTTAGACCACATTCTTTCTGTGTCAGAAACCTATGCTGTGTCAAATATTTAATAACAATCCAAATTCAGAGCTGTATCAAGCTTGAATGTTGTGTCCATACTTGCCCCAACTGTTCAGGGTTCGACCTCTGCGGTCGTATCAAGCTGCGCCCCAGCGAAGCATTTTATTAGTTATTATCTTGAATATTATTATAGATAGAGATAAACTGTATACAGCAATAATGTTCAGCAAAGTAAGATCTACAATTAAGTCAACTTGACCAAAATGGTCAGTTGACCCCTTAAGGAGTTATTGCCCTTTATAGTCAATTTTTAACCATTTTTCGTAAATTTTTGTAATCTTTTACAAAAATCTTCTCCTGAAACTACTAAGACAAATTTAACCAAACTTGTCCACAATCATCATTAGGGTATCTAGTTTAAAATGTGTCCGATGACCCCGCCCACGAACCAAGATGGCCGACATGGCTAAAAAATAGTACATAGGGTAAAATGCAGTTTTTGGCTCATATCTCTGAAACCAAAGCATTTAGAGCAAATCTGACATGGAGTAAAATTGTTTATCAGGTCAAGATCTATCTGCCCTGAAATTTTCAGATGAATCGGACAACCCGTTGTTGGGTTGCTGCCCCTGAATTGGTAATTTTAAGGAAATTTTGCCGTTTTTATACGACCGCAAAAAAATTTTTGTGGTCGTATATTGGTATGACGTTGGCGTCGTCGTCGTCGTCCGGCGTCGTCCGAAGACACATTGGTTTTCGCACTCTAACTTTAGTTTAAGTGAATGGATCTCTATGAAATTTTACCACAAGGTTCAATACCACAAAAGGAAGGTTGGGATTGATTTTGGGGGTTATGGTACCAACAGTAAAGGAATTAGGGGCCAAAAAGGGGCCAAAAATAAGCATTTTTGTAACTTCCAGACATAACTTGTGTGTTAGTGTATGGATCTCTCTGACATTGTACCACAAGGTTTCATATCACAAAAGGAATGCTGGGATTGATTTTGGGGGTAATTGCCTCAAAATTATAGGCATTAGGGGCCAAAAAAGGGGCAAAAAACAAGCATTTTTCTAGTTTCATGACAATAACTTGTGTGTAAGTATATGGATCTTTCTGAAATTGTACTACAAGGTTTCATATCACAAAGGGAAAGCTGGAATTGAGTTTTGGGGTAATTGCCGAAATGTTTAGGAATTGGGGGCCAAAAAGGGGCAAAAAATAAGCATTTTTCTAGTTTCTAGACAATAACTTGTGTTCAAGTGTATGGATCTCTCTGAAATTGTACTGCAAGGTACCATACCACAAAGGGAAGGCTGGGATTGATGATGGGGGTAATTGCCTCAATATTTTAGGAATTAGGGGCCAAAAAGGGGCAAAAAACAAGCATTTTTCTAGTTTCAGGACAATAACTTGTGTGTAAGTATATGGATCTTTCTGAAATTGTACTACAAGGTTCCATATCACAAAGGGAAAGCTGGGTTTGAGTTTAGGGGTAATTGCCCTAAACGTTTAGGAATTTGGGGCCAAAAAGGGGCCAAAAAACACATTTTTCTAGTTTCCAGACAATAACTTGTGTTCAAGTGTATGGATCTCTCTGAAATTGTACTGCAAGGTACCATACCACAAAGGGAAGGTTAGGATTAAGTTTGGGGGTGATAAATCATAAGGGGGTTCAAAAAATTTGGGGGGGGGGGGATTTTTTTTTTTTTCCTTTTTTTTTTCTTTTAAAATTTTCCATTTTAAGTTGGTTATTTCTGATTTATATTTAAAAGCAAATAATAATGATATGGTAGGAGATACACACCAAACAGGATGTGTAAATTATTATATAATTAGTATTGTGCAATAGCAAGTTTTTCAATTGCACAGTATTGCACAATAGCAAGAAATCTTCAATTGCACAGTATTGCGCAATAGCAAGAAATCTTCAATTGCACAGTATTGCGCAATAGCAAGAAATATCCAATAGCACAATATTGCGCAATAGCAAGAAATTGTCAATTGTACAGTATTGCGCAATAGCAAGAAATATTTAATTGCACAGTATTGTGCAAAAGAAGATACTTCGTATAAATTGCTTATTTCTTGACCAATTTCAATGGGGTTTTATTCTTGAATTCTTGGGGTTCTTTAATATGCTGAATCTAACCGTGTATTTAGTTTTTGGATTTTGGGCCCCGTTTTTAAATTGGTCCACATTGAGGTCCAAAGGGTCCAAAATTAAACTTTGTTTGATTTCATCAAAAATTGAATTATTTGGGTTCTTTGATATGTCGAATCTAACCGTGTATTTAGATTCTTAATTTTTGGTTCCGTTTTCAAATTGGTCTACATTAAGGTCCAAAGGGTCCAAAATAAAACTTAGTTTGATTTTAACAAAAATTGAATTCTTAGGGTTCTTTGATATGCTGAATCTAAACATGTATTTAGATTTTTGATTATGGGCCCAGTTTTCAAGTTGGTCCAAATCGGGGTCCAAAATTTAACTTTGTTTGATTTCAACAAAAATTGAATATATGGGGTTCTTTGATATGCTGAATCTAACCATGTATTTAGATTTTTGATTTTTGGGCCCTGTTATCAACTTTGTCCACATTGAGGTCAAAAGGGTCCAAAATTAAACTTTGTTTGATTTCATCATAAATTGAATTCTTGGGGTTCTTTGATATGCTGAATCTAACCATGTATTTAGATTTTGGATATTAGACCATAATAGGTGAATGTCCAATTTAAAATTTTTAAGTTCTTAGACCACATTCATTCTGTGTCAGAAACCTATGCTGTGTCAAATATTTAATCACAATCCAAATGCAAAGCTGTATCAAGCTTGAATGTTGTGTCCATACTTGCCCCAACCAGTGTTCTCCCCAGAAATTTTGGATAGCATCACATTTGACATAAAAAAAAAATCAGGTTTTTTTTCATTGTCATTCGCCGCGGTGCGATGATGCTGTCTTTTCTTTTTGTAATGTAGTAGTATATATGTTATATGGTTGCAGATGTGTCTATATGTCTATATTAAGAATAAAATAACAATTTGTAAGTTCTATACTTTAATAATAGAATATATTAACAAAAACAAGCATCAAAATACACAATACTCAATTTAAAAGCACAAGATTTCAAAAGCACTAATGTCTATAACTAAAGGTTAAGTTTTCTCTTCTTCTTTTGTGCAAATGCTGTTACACAGGCTTGGAAATCAAAGTTCTGCAAAGAAGGTCCCTCTGTGGAGATGGTCATCAGGCAGTTCAGAATGTGTTGGCTGAGTCTGTTTCTCAAGATACTCTTTACTCTGTTCAGGGTGCTGAAGGTTCTTTCACAGTCTGCAGTGGACACTGGCACTACTAAAGCAATCTGGCAGTATTTACTGAGTACTGGGTAGAGGTCAGTCATCTTGGCTGTCTTTTCTAAAACCTGTCTGGTTGTCTGATCTTTCATCTTGGAGGCAATGATGTATCTTAGTGAGGTAAATTCTTCTTCAGCAGTATCAGAGGTTCCAACTGATGGGAATTGCTTGGCTAGTTGCTGAAACAGATAAATATAAAAATTAATAAATAAATATCACAAAGAAATTAAAAAGTTATTGCTTGTTACATATAAAAAATTGTTTCATAGTTGTCATTAGGAACCTCCAAGTAACTGTAAATATTTAATAATTTATAGCATCTGCATACAATTTGAACAAAATTAATATGTTGCACCAATATTATATTAGAAAGAGATAATACCTTCAACTTCTGAAACTGCAAGTACTCATTGGTGGATGGATCTTTCTGGTCAAGCAAGTCTGGGTCAAATACTGAGAAGGAGTCTAATACACTGGTGTCTGGAAATCTGTCATGAAGGTTGCTTATAACATTGTTGATGAAGGGTTGGTAGACTTGCTCCTGGAATCTGTCGATTTCTGTCTGCTTGTACTTTACACCATACTCCTCTAGGCTGTTGAAGTATGTTGCAATGTCTTTTGTGTTGGGTCCTGGGTTGTCAAGTAGGTTGGTTAGTACCAGCTGAGTTGAAGAAACAAGTGTGTCTACCATACTGAAGTCTATAGATGTTTTCTGGAAGAGTTTGGACAGGCGGTTCAGGTGTGGTAGGGTATCCAGTAACATGGCAATGGCACACAGGAAGAATGGAGACTTCACAAACAGGGCTAGTCCAGCTGCTGTAGCATCTGTACGCTCAGAGGCTTCCCTCTCAAGACTGGCAATGAGTGCTGGGTGGCAACGCTTGACTGCTTCAACTGAGTTCAGGTGGGAGAGCCATCTGGTGTCACAAATGTCCTTCAGTTTAACAACTGGGTCACCAAGGATGTTCTGTAATGAAAAAAGAAAATTAATTTCATAAATATGAATGAGACATTTTGTGACACAATTACTTTATTTGACAAATGAATGTGAGAAATATTTATTATTAAATCTTTATATTATTTTGACCAAAAAAGTATTTATAATAGTTGAAATTTATAAGTTTATTTGTAAATTAAAATTATAAGAAATTTACCTCTATCTCTTTTAATCCATGCATTCGGACAGCTGAATTCTGGTAGAAGTAGAAAAGCTGTCTCATAATATCTTTAAACTTCTTGAGGTACTGGATGTTGGAACTGGCTTGACCAGAGGCAAGTGCTAGTCGATGTGCTATGCAGTGTACATTCAACATCTCTGGGTTGATGGCCTTCAACTGGGTAGCAACCTGGAAAATATAAATAAAAATTATAAAACATGTTAAATATGTCATTTGTTTTTTATTCAGATAAAAAAAAGATATATTCATTTTCAGATTTAATAGCTGATTGATTATTATTTTTTAATAAAAAAATATATATTACCCCTGTTTTCCTTCCAACCATAACTGATGCCCCATCAGAACCAAAACCAATGAGTCTGCTTGTGTCTAGTTGGTGTGTTGTGAAGAAGTTCTTGAGTGCTGTCATGATCGTATCTGCTTTGCCATCTGGTAGATCAATGAGTTGAAGGAAAGTTGTCTTGAGTTCCATGTTGGGTGTAAAGTATCTTGCCATGAGTGTCATCTGCTTAACAATAGCAATATCTGTTGTTTCATCAATAAGTAGTGAGTAGTAGGGGCTGCTGTTCAAATCCTGCATGATTGGTTGTTGAATCTGTTGTGTGATGGTCTGAAGCATGTCCTGCATGGTGCGTTGACTTGTGTAGTTGACGTTGTCTCCTTTGTGTAACAGGTCAAGGTAGTCACATCCCAAGGTCTTTGCAAGTTCCAGTAAGGATTTGAAGTGGGTAGTGTGTGGGATCTCTTCATTTGCCAACCAGTAAAGACATCTGAAAGCTCCGATGAGTGCTGTCCTTTCCAGGGTACAGTGCTGAGTGAGTGAGTCCTGGATCCCTTGACCTTTGCCAGCAAGTATAGATTGAGCCTCTAGTTGTGCAGCTTCTTGGTGGGTTTTGGATTTTTGGTGTCTGTTCAAGCTCTCTTTAACAAGTGTAGTACAGGGTGTCCCGATCCATGTGTCAGTACCATTTTTTGCTTTCTTGCCGTGCTTAGTGCAGTAAGTACATAACATACCTATAAAATAAAATATTTATTTTAATTTTCATACATTTTTTTTCAAAGAACAGGTAGTTGAATAAATTTATTTTAAATTTCCAAGCCGTAATTTTTAGAATTATATATCGAACACTTGAAGAAGAATGAAGAAAGATGATTTACTTAAATATAAATATTTTTTTCTTTTAAATTCATATTTTGTAAACACATTGCATTCCAATTCTTTTGCAAATATTATTATTTTAATATAATCTTGTATGCTTTAGCGAGGCTAAATATGGGACTGGGAATAAATTTTATTCAATAAATAAATATTTCATAGCGTCGTCGTACCAGACTTGTCTTGGGTTAAGATCAACCAAGGAAATGATCTCTTCCAGTTTGGGTCAACGCCAGATAGTCTGACTTTAACTGGTGTCTGTTTGGTTTGAGTAGTAGGGTTCTCGAGTATTTCAATCTGCAATCCTGGGTCACGATTGATGTTCACCTCTTCGGCAACTAAATCTTGCGTAAGTGTACAACTTGGTTTGGTCAGCCATTTTGACAACATCAAGCTTCCTTGCGTAGTTTTTCTTCTCTTAGGAGACGGTTCTGCCATGTTGCAAACGTAGATTTCGAATTGTTAATGATTTCCATTTTCTCGATGTCCATATTTATTTACACATAGGCTTGGATCACGCTTGGACCACGTGTTATTGGTCATGTCATAAGTGTCAGCTTAGGGTATTCAAATCCGAACAGTTATCAAACAGTTTTCACCCAAACAACAATTAACACCTATTTAATCACTCTTAATTGCCTCTATTGTTTGATTGAAGGGATTACAATTAAAGATTAAAAGGTGATATAATTTTTATGATCATAAGCGGTAATTACATAAAAGTTCAAAAATTAGGACATCGATCGATTTTGGAGTAATGCATTTACATGCAAGAAAAAATAGCATCTTCAAAATAATTATAGCGTCGCGGAAAATATTATAGCGTCACGGTAAAAAATTATAGCATCGCGGTACCGCGACGCTAAAACGGCCTGGGGAGATCACTGCCCAACTGTTCAGGGTTCGACCTCTGCGGTCGTATCAAGCTGCGCCCTGCGGAGCATTTTATTGGTTATTATCTTGAATATTATTATAGATAGAGATAAACTGTAAACAGCAATAATGTTCAGCAAAGTAAGATCTACAAATAAGTCAACATGACCAAAATTGTCAATTGACCCCTTAAGGAGTTATTGCCCTTTATAGTCAATTTTTTACAATTTTTTCATAAATTTTGTAAATTTTTGTAAATTTTTTACAAAATATTTTCCACTGTAACTACTGGGCCAAGTTCATTATAGATAGAGATAATTGTAAGCAGCAAGAAAGTTCAGTAAAGTAAGATCTACAAACACATCACCATCACCAAAACACAATGTTGTCATGAATCCATGTTTGTCCTTTGTTTAATATGCACATATACCAAGGTGAGCGACACAGGCTCTTTAGAGCCTCTAGTTTTCATCATGCTTGAAGATATTGATTGACAATTGGTAAATAGTTTTATCATGACAAGTTACAGATCGAGTTCAAATTTTTGTTTCGGTCTGATAATTTTGTGCAGAGATATGGTCCTTGGACTTGAAAAAATTCACTCATATATTCAGTTTTCCACACTGATTTTTGTCATGCTTGAAGATATTAACTTGATATTTTCTTTTTGTTTACACCATGACAAGTTATAGAACAAGTTAGCATTTTGTTCCAGTATAATGAATTTTTACCCGGTAGGGGACTATGTATTGCCATGCAAAACTCTCAGAATGCTTGTTTTTAATGTCATTAATCTTCCTACCAAAAAGTTTTTTTATCAAAGCAAATGCAGACTTCACGAAATATGCTAGAACACCTGACAAAATATACTGTTGGTCATACAAATATTTGCAATTCACCAGTCCAACTGTCTGGTAAACAAAAATGTCTGGTCCCATATTCAGGTGCCAAAATGAAATAAAAGTTTCAATATTGTTTTTGTCACCACTATCTTTTTGATTAAAATATAGCAATGTATAAAATAGACCACACTACCGTGCTTGACACTAGATATTGTGGAGTGTAATGGTAGTTTCAATTATCAGTTGTTATTAGTTAAATTTTTACACCCCACATGTCTTTTTCTTCATTTAGATTGAACACTTTGGGACTATTGAAGGTCTGATAGTTTCAAAGTTAAGCTTCAACTCTTAACATTACAGACAACAAAAAACAAAAATACTCTCACATGCTTTCACTTATTGTAAATTTTTTCCAGTTTTTGCTGTTATTTTAAAAACTATAGGACCTAGGTTAAAGGTAATCACTACACAAATGGTCAGCATGGCAAGATCTATCTACTCTGAAAATTTAAGAAAATCTTGCAATCTATTTTGAATTTGTTTCCCTTGAAATATTGATTTTTACTGGTTTTTGCTGTTTTTTGGCTGTTATCTCAAAAACCCCAAAAAGGAGCTAGGTTAAAAGGGTAAATTGTTAAACAATGATCAGCAAAACCAAAACTAACTAGTGTTTCCAAAAAAGGTGTTCATTAACAGACTGGCTCTTTTTCACAAAGTAAATGATATAGGCTCAGTCTAGGGTGTTGTTATAGATAAGGGTTGTTCCATAAATACTTAATTGGACCCAGGAAATCTCAACTAAGGATGGGTGTCAAGTACAGTGAAAATATACAGGAAATTCTAACTTTGCCTCTATTTGTGGTTACCCCATTTTGAAAGTGCCTCACATGGGTTCAATGTATTTCAAAATGGAACCTCTCTAACCAAAAGGTACATACCGTAATACAATACTGAATTGATCCAACCATTCATTTTTAATGTTTTTTTATGTAGCCGCTGTAGGTGACGTGGGAATTAAGTGTTACCTTTGACTGTCCGTCTTTCTGACCGTCCATTCGACCCAATTATCGTTTGTTTGAAGCTTGAGCGGGGCATTTGTGTCATCAGACCCATGTTCTTTTATTATTTTTTTTACATATATGAAATAATTTAATGTTAAAAATGTTGAGAAAAATATGTCTGTTCACTGTTGTAGCTGTTGGTTAATGTATAAAAAGTACAGTCTATGTTTGTTGTAGGAGATGATAATCATTATTTATTTTCATTTTCCAACAAAATTTGTACCTGTTGGTTATGGTATAAAAAAGTTACAGATTATGTGTGAAGTGGAAGATGATAATCATTATTTATTTTCATTTTCCAACAAAACTTGTACCTGTTGGTTATGGTATAAAAAAGTTACAGATTATGTGTGAAGTGGAAGATGATAAACATTATTTATATTTATGTAGTAACAAAACTGATACCTGTTTGTTACAGATTACATGTTATGGAATAAAAAAGTTGCAGATGTTGTGTGTAGTAGAGATGATATTATTTATAATAATATTCTAGCAAAACTGGTACCTGTTGGTTATGGAATAAAAAAGATACAGATTATGTCTGTGGTAGGAGATGATAATCATTATTTATCTTTATGTTCTAGCAAAACTGGTACCTGTTGGTTATGGAATTAAAAAGTTACAGATTATGTGTGTGGTAGAAGATGATAAAGTGGGAACTGATGATTTAGAAGAAGCTATAACACATTTTGAAGATTATGTAAGTCATGTCTTTATATGTTGAAAATGGAGTTCAACACAAAAAATCATCATTATCAAAGTTAACCTCATATTTTGGTAAAATAGTCAATCCAAAAGCTGTGCTGATTATGTTTGAGGCATTGTTATGTAGTATATGCAAATAGAAAAAAAAACATGGCCTTATTGGGTAGGAGTTCACTTTTATTTATGTTTACCAATATTTAAGTTACTACGACCAAATTATTTAGGTTTTTTAAAGACAGGAAAGTCTTTAGTTGAATCCTATTTATCTTCTATATGTTTGAATTGTTTATGATGTTCCAATTTCCAGTAAATGTCCATACTTTTATTTTTTAAATGATATACTGTATAGAACATGTAGAATTACTGCAGTTGCAGAAATTTTTGCAATTTCTTTTTTATTGTGAAAATTGTGACGAAATATGTATTGCAAAAATAAAAACTCTTATTTTGAATTAAAAAAGCATTATTTGTGTTCAGCATTTACTGAAATCGCAATTTTAAATCTCGCATTTTTTGTCCATTCTTCAAAATGACAATAATTGAATGCACACAATAAATTTCAGAATTTACAGAAATTTTTTTTTTTTTTTTTTTATACGCCCGTTTATGGGACGTATTATGGTATACCGTTGTCTGTCCGTCCGTCTGTCGTCAACATGTCGGACATTAACTCAAAAACGCTTTAACCAATTTGCTTAAAACTTTGGTGAATTGTTTATATCTATTGACGTGAGCTCCCTTTCGTTTTTTATAAATTTTAGATTTTACGTTTCTGAGTTGTGGGGTTTTATTCATTAAAAAAAGGGGGATTTTCCAGTTTTCGGACAATAACTCAAGAATGCTTTCACCAACTTGCAAGAAATTTTGGTTAATTGTTTATATCTATTGACATGAGCTCCCTTTGGATTTTTATAAATTTTAGATTTTACGTTTCCGAGTTATGGGGTTTTATTCATAAAAAAAGGGGGATTTTCCAGTTTTCGGACAATAACTCAAAAATGCTTTCAGCAGTTCTCATGAAACTTTGATGTTGATATCTATTGATGTAAGCTCCCTTTAGAATTTTATAAATTTTAGATTTTACATTTCCTAATTATGGGGTTTATTCATTAAAAAAGGGGGGATTTTCCAGTTTTCAGACAAAAACTCAAAAATGCTTTCAGCAATTCGTATGAAACTTTGGTGAACTGTTTATATCTATTGATGTAAGCTCTCTTTAGAATTTTATAAATTTTATTTGTTTATAGTCTGACAACAGATTTACTAAGTATTGCGCAACAGCACAGTGTATTGCACAACAGCAAGAAATCTTTAATTGAATATAAATTCAATTCATATAACCAACTTCAAGTTCTTTGACTACATTTATTCAGAAACCTATAATAGATGTATGTCAAATATTTAATTACAATCCAAATTCAGACCTGTATCAAGGTTGAATATTGTGTCCATTTTTGCCCCAACTGTTCAGGGTTAGACCTCTGCGGGCGTATCCAGCTGCGCTCAGCGAAGCAGTTTATTAATTTAGTAATGTTTTTTTTTTATTTTCTTGCAGGTACAAAGTGTAGATGTGTCATCATTCAACAAGATCTAAATCACCACTACCATAATGGAAAAGTGCCAATAGTGACTTAAAAAAGACAAACACTTAATAAATTATCAGCAACGTATGATCTTGTTCTAAATACTGTAAATGTACAAATTTTTGCTATGTTTTTATTAATTGTGACTATTAGATAGGTGTCGCAAAAATAAAAACTCACATTTAGTATTTTGATAGCATTATTTGTATGCAGCATTTCCTGAAACTGCAATAATTAAACTTGCATTTGTGTCGATTGTCACAAAAACAGTTATGTATTAAAAGATTACACCAACGCCCAACTCTCCCAAAAATGACATAAAAACAAAGACCAAGAAGAATTACATTCACACGGTACAGATAGACTGCATGCATTGGTACAGGCATAAAATGTGGTGGAGTTATACCAGTTGTATGTGCACACAAACCTCCCCTATCTAGAACATATGTCCTTAAAGTTAAGTAAAACACACTGAAAAACAAGCACAGTGCAGCTACAAGCTCTAACCTTAACAAGGAAGTGGAAGACGTCACATGATTTTGAAAGCTTGATCAAAATGTGGTAGGGGCCTCGGTGGCTGAGTGGTCTAAGTAGTTACTACTGTAATAACTAGCCAGTCAACACTGAGGTTGTGAGTTCGAACCCCGCTCGTGTGGGTGCACTTGACTCCAAATTAATTGACTAGGATTGTCAGTTTTCTTATCGAAGGTCGGTGGTTTTCTCCGGGCACTCCGGCTTCCTCCACCGATAAAAACTGGCCACCACAAAATAGCCTAAAAGCGGTGCTTAAAAGTGGCGTTAAAACACCAAAAATCAAAAAAAAAATCAAATCAAAATGTGGTAGCTACTACAGGAAGCTAGGTAAAGTAGCCATAGTCGTAGATTGAATATTGTTGCTCAAGGTATGAAAAACAGATACAACACTTCTTATAGGTTTCCTGTAGTCTGAAGCATTAAATCTTTTTATACGACTACAAAAAGTTTTGCCATATAATGGTATGAAGATGTGGTCATTGTCCGAAGACATTTGGTGTCCAGACAATAACTTGAGTATAAATGGATGGATCTCTTTGAAATTGTACCACAAGGTTCAATACCACAAAAGGAAGGTTGGGATTGATTTGGGGGGTTATGGCCTTAACTGTTAAAGAATTTTTTTACCAAATAGGGACCAAAAGCAAACATTTTTCTAGTTTCCAGACAATAACTTGTGTTCAAGTGTATGGATTTGTATGAAATTGTACCACAAGGTTCCATACCACATAAGTAAGGTTGGATTGAACTTGGGGGTAATGGCCGTATTCGCTTAGGATTTGGGGCCAAAAAGTGTAAAAACAAGCAATTTTTATACGACCACATATTGGTATGACGTTGGCATCGTCGTCTAAAGACACATTGGTTTTCGCACAATAACTTTAGTTTAAGTGAATGAATCTCTATGAAATTTTACCATAAGGTTCAATACCACAAAAGGAAGGTTGGGATTTTGGGGGTTATGGTACCTACAGTTAAGGAATTAGGTGCCAAAAAGAGGCAAAAAAATAAGCATTTTTGTAACTTCCAGACAATAACTTGTGTGTTGGTGTATGGATCTCTCTGGCATTGTACCACAAGGTTCCATATCACAAAGGGAATGCTGGGATTGATTTTGGGGGTAATTGCCTCAAAATTTAAGGAATTAGGGGCCAAAAAAACGGCAAAAACAAGCACATTTAGCTCACCTGGCCCGAAGGGCCAAATGAGCTTTTCTCATCACTTGGCGTCCGTCATCGTCATTAACTTTTTACATTTTGAACTTCTAGAGAACCACTGAATGGCACGAATGTTTCTTATGAGATGCTGACCTAATGTTGTTACTTTAAAGCTGATCCATCATCCAAGATGGCCGCCAGCGGGGGACTTAGTTTAACATAGGACCCTATGGGAAATACATACAAATGTCTTCTTTTAGAGAACCACTGAATGGAATGAAACCAAACATGGCATGAATGTTCCTTCTGAGGTGCTGACCAAGTGTTGTTACTTTGAAGCCAATCCATAATCCTAAATGGCTGCCTGCAGAGGACTTAGTTTAACATAGGACTCTAAGGGAAATACATACAAATGTCTTCTTTTAAAGAGCCACTGAATGGAATGAAACCAAACATGGCATGAATGTTCCTTTTGAGGTGCTGACCAAGTGTTTACTTTGAAGCCGATCCATCTTCCAAGATGGCTGCCAGCGGGGCACTTAGTTTAACAAAGGACCCTATGGGAAATACATACGAATGTCTTATTTTAGAGAACCACTGAATTGAATGAAACCAAACATGGCATGAATGTTCCTTATGAAGTGCTCACCAAGTGTTGTTACTTTGAAGCCGATCAGTCATCCAAGATGGCCACCAGCTGGGGACAGTGTTTAACAAAGGACCCTATGGTCAATACATACAAATGTCTTCTTTTAGAGAACCACTGAATGGATTGAAACCAAACATGGCATGAATGTTCCTTATGAGGTGCTGACTAAGAGTTGTTACTTTGAAGCTGATCCTTCATCCACTATGGCCGCCAGCGGAGGACTTAGTTTAACATAGGACCCTATGGGAAATACATACAAATGTCTTCTTTTAGAGAACCACTGAATGGAATGAAACCAAACATGGCATGAATGTTCCTTATGAGGTGCTGACCAAGTGTTGTTACTTTGAAGCCAATCCATAATCCTAAATGGCCGCCTGCGGGGAGCTTAGTTTAACATAGGACCCTATGGGAAATAAATAAAAATGTCTTCTTTTAAAGAACCACTGAATGGAATGAAACCAAACATGGCAGGAATGTTCCTTTTGAGGTGCTGACCAAGTGTTGTTACTTTGAAGCCGATCCATCATCCAAGATGGCCGCCAACGGGGGACTTTGTTTAACATAAGACCCTATTGGAAATACATACAAATGCTTCTTCTAGAGGTGCACTGAATGGAATGAAACCAAACATGGCATAAATGTTTCTTATGAGGTGCTAATGAAGGGTTGCTACTTTGTTGCTGATTTACTGTTCAAGATGGCCACCAGGATTTTTTTATTAAATTACAGGGCCAATATTAAACCAAATTTGGCCTCACTCATTATTAGGGTATCTGTTATGATTTTAATCTATTTTAACATGATTTCCAAAACCAAAGTAGAATCAGGTGAGCGACACCGGCTCTTGAGAGCCTCTAGTTCTAGTTTTATGACAATAACTTGTGTGTAAGTGTATGGATCTTTCTGAAATTGTACTACAAGGTTCCATATCACAAAGGGAAAGCTGGGTTTGAGTTTGGGGGTAATTGCCCTAAATGTTTAGGAATTTGAGGCCAAAAAACAAGCATTTTTCTAGTTTCCAGACAATAACTTGTGTTCAAGTGTATGGATCTATCTGAAATTGTACTGCAAAGTACCATACCACAAAGGGAAGGCTGGGATTGATTTTGGGGGTAATTGCCTCAAAATTTTAGGAATTAGGGGCAAAAAAACGCGTTTTTCTAGTTTCAGGACAATAACTTGTGTGCAAGTGTATGGATCTTTATGAAATTGTACTACAAGGTTCCATATCACAAAGGGAAAGCTGGGTTTGAGTTTGGGGGTAATTGCCCTAAACGTTTAGGAATTTGGGGCCAAAAAGGGGCCAAAAAAACAGCATTTTTATACGCCCGTCAACATTTTGACGGGACGTATTATGGTATACAAATGTCGTCTGTATATCTGTCCGTGTATCCGTCTGTTGGTCTGTCTGTCCAGCGTAAACATTTCGCACCGTAACTTGAGAACGACTTATCCAAATTTTATGAAACTTTACATAGTTGTTTCTTATGATGATCAAATGATATTTATACTTTTTGGTGAAAATAAGATTAAAACTTTTTGAGTTACGGGACTTAGTAACTAAAACAGGTGTGTGGTTTTTTTTTCACATGTCGCGCCGTATCTCAAAAACGATTTATGATTATTACTTAAAACTTAACACACTTATTAGTTATATTAATCTTAAGATCTGTATACTTTTTGGTGATGATTCAAAATTTTATTTTAGAGATATTGAGTATTTTGTTAAAAAAAGGGGGAGGGGTTTTTCACATGTTGCGCCGTATCTCAAAAACAGTTTATGATTATTACTTACAACTTTACACACTTCTTAGTTATATTAATCTTAAGATCTGTATACTTTTTGGTGATGATTCAAAATTTTATTTTTGAGTTATTGAGTATTTTGTAAAAAAAGGGGAGGGGTTTTTCACATGTCGCACCGTATCTCAAAAACAATTTATGATAATTGCTTAAAATTTTACACACTTCTTAGTTATATTAATCTAAAGATCTGTATACTTTTTGGTTTTGATTCAAAATTTTATTTTTGAGATATTTATATTTTTTTTTAAAAAGGGGGTTTTTCACATGTTGCGCCGTATCTCAAAAAACGATTTATGATTAGTGCCTTAAACTTTACTCACTTCTTAGTTATATTAATCTAAAGATCTGTATACTTTTTGGTTTTGATTCAAAATTTTATTTTAGAGATATTGAGTTTTTTGTAAAAAAAAAAGGGGGGGGGGGGGTTCGCATGTCAAGCCGTATGTCAGAAACTATTCACACACAAGACGACGGGCGTATCATGCGCTCATGGCGCAGCTGTTTATTCAATTTTCCAGACAATAACTTATGTTCAAGTGTATAGATCTCTCTGAAATTGTACTGCAAGGTACCATACCACAAAGGGAAGGCTGGGATTGAGTTTGGGGGTGATGAATCATAAGGCGGTTCAAAAAATTTGGGGGGGATTTTTTTTCCCTTTTTTCCTTTTTTTCTTTGAGGTGATATACAAATGAGAAGCAGTCATTTTATTTTGAAATGTTACAAAGAATTTTGCTGATTCAGATATATTACTTTTAGTGATTATTGTTCATGCATTGTTCTATTTTAAGATTGTTACCATGTATTTAAATAATTTCATATACTTGAAAATTCCATTGAAAATCAAAATAGACTTTTTCCATCCTTTAATAAATAGATGAATTATATTCTTGGTGTACCTGGATATGCTGAATCTAACCGTGTATTTAGATTTTGGATATTGGACCATAATACTAGTAGGTTAACGTCTAATTTCAAATTCTTAAATTCTTAGACCGCATTCATTCTGTGTCAGAAACCTATGCTGTGTCAAATATTTGATCACAGTCCAAATTCAGAGCTATATCAAGCTTGAATGTTGTGGCATTTTTGCCCCAACTGTAATCAGGGTTCGACCTCGGCGATCGTATCAAGCTGCACACTGTTTAGAATTTAATCCTGGAAAAATCATCCCCTATCACCGGAAATAAAACCAAAATCACCAGCTTTCAGTCTTGAAAATAACCCAACTATCACCAATGTTTAGTTGGGAAGATGACCCACAACCACCAGTATTCAGTCTGAAAAATCACCCAATACCACCATCATTCAGTGAAAAATTATCCTCAATCACTAGCCATCAGTCTAAAAAGTCGACCAATATCACCAGCTTTCAGAGTGAAAAATAACTCACAATCGCCAGCGTTCAGAGTGAAAAATTACCCACTTTCACCAGCATTAACTCTTAAAAAACAGTGAATTCAGTACTGTTCAGATAATTCGCTTGCAGTCAATTAAGATTTGTTCACTAGTTCTTATTCACCTGTACACATCAACATCCATATTGAATTGTCTGAAATTTTACGGAACACTACTGGATTAACCCCCCGTGAATAAGATTAGAAATTGACCGAAAGACTGAATGATTATTTTTCAGACTTTTCAGACGATGATCAGATCAAAATAACCGTTTAAGATTAAAAGTCATTTACTTTTGTAGCCAATTATACGGTATGGGTTTTTCTCATTGGTAGGTGCCGTGCGGTTGACTATAATTGCTTACATTTTCTTCATTTTAACTCTAGTGGGAGCTGCTTCTCCGGAATGTGAATATTAAGGGGCATACGATACAATTACAGGGGAGGTAATGACGTTGCTAACGTAAAATGTTATTTTCGCGATGTCAAACTGTGACATATCGGGAAAAGATGCTTTTTTCGACTGATTTTTATCATTCAGACTGATTTAACTTGAAAACGAGTTCATGGACCCCTCTTTTTTAAAATGACATTAGGTTTGATTACTTATGAAGATTAATTATATTGATTTTTATGAAAAAGTCACCGATGAAATTTTTCTAAATTAAATAAATATACAGCAAAAAAGGCCGCTTTTTTTCTAAAAATATGAAACTTTAATAAAAATTGATTATTTCCAAAAAATTGTTATACACATTTATAGCATTCTTATGTAAAGAAGATTTTCCTAATATTTTTACAAAAATCCGCTTGTGTTTATCTTTTGAAAAAAAAGTTAGGTATGTTTATCCAAAGGATAGAAATGTAAAAAAAAACCGAAGTTTTGAGTAAATGTCTGAAATTTCGGCCCCATTAATCTCTTGAACATGAAGGTATATTTTTTATTACGTATTTGAATTGACTAGGTGAAAAATAGCTTGTATGCAACTGTTCGTAAAGAAATCACCGTGGAATCAAAACTGTATCGTATACCCTTAAGACCATTTGACCGTTCGCTCAAGAAGGAAACAATATTCATGAAGGCATTGCTTGAATATTGTGCATGTTAAACAAATATAACTTTGTTAGAAGAAACTATCTAATACGTCGATAGCTTTTCAATTGAACTTAACGGTTTGTTCTTATGTGCCGTTATACAGCTATCCAAGTTTAAAAGGAATTGGGTGGTGGCGCATGTTCTATATGCCTTTCCAACGTCAGGATCCTGTAGTACAGTGGTTCTTTAAATGTTCTCCGATGAGTTTGGTTTTTTAAATGTTATAAGCTTAAATCAGTTAGATTTATCGTTAAAACTTTCATATTATGTCATCCCTGGCCTCCTATAACGTTGCGTTGTAGTGGACCTCGATTGTTTATCTTCTTGTCTGGTTTTTTTTATAGATAGTTGTCTCCTTGGTAATCATATCACAATAAATCGAAGTATTCCTGTTTAATAAATTAAGATTGTAGTCGAGCGCACCTGCCACGTGCGGGATTCAAACTCACAACCTTATTGTTGACAGGGTAGTGACACATTAGTTGGACTACTTAGACCTATCGGCCCCTAACACTTATTCGTGAAGTCAATAAAGATTTCCTGCATTTGTGTGATAATAAATTGGCTGAATGCATGTAGTACGTCAATATGTAGCGAAATCAAATAAAAAGTGTATTTGAAAACTAGAAGTAAATAGCATTGAATAAAACTTTGACTACACGAATAAGTATTAAATTGATGAAATATAGCAATGAATAAAACTTTGACTGCACGAATAAGTATTAAATTGATGAAATGTAGCATTGAATAAAACTTTGACTACACGAATAAGTATTAAATTGATGAAATATCTTAAGTTACACTTATTGTTTTGACTTTTTTATATGCTAATTCCACGAGGGAGCAGTCCACTTAGTATGACCTTAGTGAAACAAGTTCAAGTAAAAGTTGCACATTTTTCATTAGGTTTTATGATGTCGGGCCACCGATTAGATCGTTTCATTAAAATCTAAACACGAATGACGCTTTTGGAGCTCATGAATTCCTCGTTCTTTAGGGGTTCGTATTATTTTTTTCTATTTTCTGTAAAGATGTCTATGGACTAGTTTGTCTCTTCGTTGTCTTTACTATGCACATGTAGTGCTGTCTATACCTTCATTGACCCTGTTTCAATGTTATTCGGTGCGAACGGCATATATCGAAAACTGCACTTTTTTAATAGAATTTATAATCATTATTTCACACTGAATTAAAACTGGCACGAATTATCTTCGTAGTTCCAAAGATGTGACTAATAGTCCTTGAATATTCAAATTTCTTTGTCGTTCTAAAAAAATGAGAATATATTTTTTTTTATTGATCCATCATTTTTTGGTTTGATCGGCGCTTCAATGTTTTATAAGATTTTCAATATGTATACCTCGAGCGTTACTGAAGAAACATTCATTGTCGAAATGCGCATCTGGTACAGTAAACATGGTAAATTAGTACCATTTATGTTAATATTATACTTTATCACATTTATTTTGTTTCCAAAATAAACATTCGTCTGGTATCATCATTGTATACTCCATGAATATTCATCCTTTTAGAACTAGCGGTCGCAGACACAGTTCTTGGTTTGTTAATCTGTAGAAACAGAATTTCGATACATTGTTCTAATGATAGATGACATGTCCGCCGTTCTAAAATTTATGAGAGGAATTCATTTGTCAATGTTTGTATATTGTAACAATCCACATTGATATTTTTACACTCACTCAATAAGTGTTCAAATAACAAATACAGACTCGAACCTTGGTGCGTTTTGTAGTTTGAGTAGCACTAACATAAAATAGCGGTGACAGGCAAAAGATATGTAGCAACAGAAGTTCGATACATTGTTCTGATGATAAGATGATATGTCCGCTTTTTCTAAAAACGGATACATGATTTTTTTGGTATATTTTCACATTCATTTTGTTACATTCGTTCTAATGTATAAAGTCAATGAATATTCATCCTAACAGAAATACAAGATCGACCCCCGCTGCCTTTCAAAGAATGTGGTATCACTACCATTAACTAGCGGTCGCAAACACGTTTCTTGGTATAAATTGTAAATCTGTAGACACAGAAGTTCGATATATTGTTCTAATGATGAGATGGCAAGTTTTGTTCAAAACTTCAAACGGTGCAATATTTGTTACTTTTCTAAAAATGATAACATTTACAGTAAATCCGATAAACTAATGTTCATGTTTCTCGCTGGTATCTCATAACGTGAACCACTCCGTCATCGCAGCCAACCCATACGAACTTGTCTGCATGTATGGCAATACCATACGGATCTCTTAGGGGTTCTTTCTTCTCTTCGATTTGCAAAGTTTCCGTCTGAGTAGTGTCTGCACTAATCAGATAAATTTTATCATTGTCATAATCTGTTACCAAAATATTACCACTATCATCACAATCAAGGCCACTTGGCTCGATGCGTAGTTTGCCGTTTTCGTTATTTGGACCGTCCCATAAAAACCTAAAATTCCCTTCGCTGTTCAGGACAACGATTTTCTTTGCAGCTTCATCTAAAATCCAAATATCTCCATTTAAAGTTTCCACGCAACGGACGGGTTTTCTCAGAAGGTAGCACTGATCTTTAACCACATAGGTATCATATTCCTTCTTGATTTTTCCAGTCTCTGAAAGTCTTGTCACATGACCAAAATCTCCATCTGTAAGACAAACTAGAATCTCGCCACTCCCTGCGACACTGACACCATGTGGTTCGGAAGGGAACGTGTCCATAAAATCTCGAAATCCAATTTCATCTTTACAAAGCAGCTTTAAGCTTCGACTTTCAGCTGAAGATAACAAAAGGTCACCTGATTTGGTAATAGAAATATCGGAAATATTGAAATCAGTAGGAACTTCTTTTGTCAGGCTTCCGTTCCTGCGCACTAAACAAACGTTCTGATCATAAGGACATGCAACCCATGCTTCACTATCACTCCTGACGGCGATACATCCTACACTTCGGTCGCTGAGCGTTGCAATTCGAAATGAGTGTCTAATTGAAGTTGTCGTTATTAAGCCAACATCAGCGTCAATACTTATTCGACTTAGAATAGAATCCTTCTTTCTCAGTGGTGGATGCTTCTTTTGTTCTCTGCTTGCATCGATATGTATTTTTCCTATAATGTCCTCTGTCTTTAAGGGAAAGCTATCGTATACGGGTATAAATTTCGGAACATTTATTTCTATATCTTCAACTTCGGGTGGCAATACACCTATAAGGTCTTTTACCGATGCCTGGTGCTGTACAATTCGAATACTATCGTCCGATTGTAAAGCTAACTCACTTTCATTAATCAGTCTACATATTCTATTCTTTTTGTTTTCGTATTCTTTTTCGCACTGCTTTACATCTTGCGATGCCTCGCTTTTAGCATTTTCGATCATTTGTGTCAGACTCTCTCTACCCTTTTCTAGATCTTCGATTATTTTCTTGATGTTTTCGTTAACGGACTTTATGACAGAATCGTAACTTTTCAAAGCCCTCTTTTTTTCCCTGTGAAATTTGTCTGCAATCTCATTAGACTTTCGAAAACTTTCTCTCAAGGTTTCGACGCATTCTTCCAGTTGTTTCCTCTTTTTGCCTACTACTGTTTCAACGTCCCAGAATCTATGACTCTCGTGTGTAGTAGTTATACATCTATTACACACGAGTTCTGTACAATCTTTACAGTATAAGGTGTACGACTGCTTATGCGTATCGCATGTTGACTTGGTCGCAGTATCGGAGCCGACATCTGTGATGTCGACGACCTGGTGTTTCCTCGTAGCAGTTTGCCTTTTATGAATACCTTTACATCTTGTGCATACCAACTGGTTACATTCGATGCATTTCCATTCGTACGAAGCACCTTCGCACAGTTCACATGCTTTGTTAGCCGGAACAGGTACTTGGGCTGCGTTTTCTCCATCTTGACTTTTATGGGATTTCTTTAGAATTCCTTCTCGTACTTTGCTTTTGCTTGAATTCTTTTGATTTTCTTCACAGCTCATTGCTGCAACTTTTGTTTGAAAACTATTGTTGACATTCAGTTGTCGGTATGTCAATTCTATATATAAAAAAAAGCAAATATCGAAAGTGTTAAAACAGGACAATTATATATTTGACTTAATGATAAAAAAACAGTTCTTACGGAAGGAGCGAATAACATTGAACGACAAAAACAAATATAAAACCATAATTATCATCTATAATTTTTATTATTTTGTACTTCATGGTAACGTAAATGTACAAAATAATAAAAAATGAAAACAACACGTTAACTAATTTCATGCGTCCGAAGCAGTTTCTATTTTCATATTTAAATATAAAGGCAAAGGATAAAACAAACTATTCTTCACACAATATGATATATCTTCGTCCTCATTATTTAATTCGTGTAGTACGTAGAACTTTTCAAACTCATTAAACAAGTTAAAAAAATTAACTTTAGTATGTCTAGATTTAAATTGTGCCAAGTCTTATTAATTATATGAATTATTAAATCAAAATCTTCTATTGCAGTTGAAATCATAACAAAACATCGGACTCTATTCCATGTCTTTAAATGTATATACAATATTGAATATTTGATTACATGCAAATCAGACAAGATATGGGTAATTAAAACATTGTTTTTAATTACCTGTACTTCTTCAAATTTTAATCACGTTGTGAAAAGATCGTATATATGATAAAGTCATATATGTTCGTCACAACCAATTAAGATTTATGACAAAATAATAAAATGATCATTTGCCTATGTAATTGTCTGTTCATTGTAATATATAGAAAAGAAAGGATATGGGGTATCCATCCATGACACAAAATTAGTATCAAAGCACAAAAAGCAAATGAACAGTGCTATCGTTGATGTTACATGTATGATTTGTGTATATTGCTATGGTCCGTATGGACGTAATTTGTAAGTAAAGTCATTACAAGTGTATTATTATCAGTTATGAAATTACATATATACACTTTATGGTTAGACTTCAAGGAGTACATGTAGTTACATGTTCCTGTGAGTTTATTTCACATCAGGGCCATTTTCAAACATTTTTCGATCTTTACTTAAATTCAAATATGTGTGCTTTAAGGCTCGAACAATGTTTTGGCGTATTTTTAAACATGTCATTTATTTATAAACGCATAGAGAATGATCCAAAATTGCACTTTTATGAGAATTTGGCAAACTTTTAGTAATTATCACAAAAATGAACAAGAAGAACCTCGTTAAAAAAAAACCCAACATCATATGTTGGGAGTAAAACTATGTAATGTCTTTCGCGAACACATTGATTAATTTTGGTAAGCGATGTCCTTGGATGCACAATTACACATAAAACGTGTAAAATTTCAGTTTTGTATCAAAATGCCATTAGCAACAACATGTAGCGCTGACTAATATAACTTTTTTATTTTATGGAAATATGTAAAATTGTGAAAGACTATTTCATATGTGATAAAGTCTCTTTTATATTCACTTTCCAGTATAATTTGGCAAGTTTCAGATTCTGAACCTTTGAGTGAAACGAAAACAGGGTAAATTGGTTCGTCTCCTTTAATGCGAGTGTTCTGTAGCTCCTTGTTAGCTCACATGACCCAAAGGGTTACCTAAACCCTAATGTCATCACTTTGAGAATAGACTGTCCGTCGTTCATAAACTTTTCAACGCTATTTTCCACTGTGAAACTTTTCATTTATCAATCAGTTGATTTTTTTATTGCAGAATATATAGAAGCAATGGGTAGTAACATTTTTGCCGCCTTGAGCAAGAAGGAACATATTGCATTGAGAATAATACTTATATACGCCAGCTTCCTTTACAACCCTACTATTTTCACACATACAATGATTCTTGCCGAGCTCGGCACTCTTTTGACACTTTAAAATGTTACTTATACATTTCTTATAACCTACAGGACTTTCTGCTACCAGAAAAAAAACTTCAGAGGGTACCAGGCTTTGAATATGAAATACTTAATGTCCATGTTAATTGCCAACTTCATTTCCAGTATTTTTTGGAAAAATATTCAAATTGGGGATAGATTTAACGCATGTCAATATTGTTTATTCGATTGTTGCAATAGCCCATGGTTTGTTTATTCTTATGCCTGTTGTTTTGTTATCTTCTCACACTCCAATGAAAAATAGTTGATCACATCAAGCTTACTACGCTTTGAAACCTTATATATTGGACATGTTGACCTTGACACACCTTATGTATCATATATTGAAATGAATGAATAACACTGCTGAAAAAAACCTCAGTCTCTGTCACATTATCTGGACAAAATAATCAAAGTACCAGTATCAGATCCATATCATACATGTAGTAGGAAAGTAATCTGGAATATTTTAACGTATATAAACATACAAAGATCCCAGGTAAGTCATAGGTTGAGTAGCAAAGAATGCGTTCATTCTTGTATTTTTACAGTAGCAATTGGGATATACTCAATCCTGACATAAAGTTCAAGTTTTCTCCTTAGTGTTTTGTAAACTGTTGTACGCATTCTCGTGTTTTTATTCTTTCTTTTTGTCATGATATTGTCCGTTTTGGTTGGCATTGTGGTTTATTTTAATTGCCCCTTGATATCCTCTTGTCACCTTCATGCAAAGACAATCATTGGTTCCCGTAGCGCGTATAAATATGGTCAAACTGTCAATTATCTTTTGAACATGTGTAGAATATTGAAAAGGGTGTTTATATTGATTTCTAAATAAAACGGATGTAATTTTTTACGGACAATTTTTTACCTGCTTAATTCACTAATTCAGGTGTTTATCTTCAAAATTAAAGAAAACATTGAATATCATTATGTATGCATTTTAACAGAACGAATTTCATAATTATGAATATGGCTAAAATTTCAAAAAAATTTATATATAATATCCCATACCTGTATAACGGTTTTTCGTATGTGTATTAAATGTATGTTACCTACAAAGGTCTACCAGGTAGACTTCCGGGTGACTGCATATTCAAACATAAGTATAGGGTATCGATCGGAAATTTAAATGATGTACGTGGTACTACTCTGGAATGTTTAAATACTGCACCGGATCTAATTGATTTCATTTGAAGTATAGATTACGTGACGTCAAACACCGACGAACAAGTATTAGTTTTCTACTTACTTGATGTGCTTGTTTGTCTACTGATTCTGTCTGTTGTATACAGTTGTAAAACATTTCCGAAACCATAGTACAAACTGTACTGTATATTGGCCTAAACTCATCCTTATAGTATCAAAAGTATACACTCGATCCTCACTTAAATTGATACCTTAGTTTGTTTCAATTGCAACGAATCATGTCGCTTGTTTTGTCTCTTTTGATCATAAAGCTCTTCACTAGTTTCGGTACTTTTACATCCTTGGCTTTCAGATATTTGGATTTGAGTGATCCTGATGAAGATAAATCCAGAAACGCGCTTCGAACTCATGCACAAAGTTATGTTTATTTTTTATGACACTGGGTAGATACAACTGCTGATGGGCCATACGTCACTGAGGTTATATTCAGCGCAGTAGTCAGTGCTTCTGTACTAACATGATTTATATGAAACATTTCTTAAATTGTCCGTTTATAAATTAAGTAATTATGAAACTATGGTTACAATTTAGTTACTAGTAGTTACTCTTTTTATCATATAAGATCTTTACCAGTTTCGGTACTTATACATCTTTGGTTATAAATATTTGGCTTTCCTGGTGAAGGTAAATTTAGAACAGCGCGTCGGACGCCAAAAAAAACCCCAAAATATTATTTTCTTCTTTTTTTTGTAATCCATTCAATTTACAGTGGGGTTTCGAGCGGACGAAGCGCTTTTCTGGAATTACCTTCACCAATAACGTTCAAACAAAAACTTTTGAAAGCAAAGAATATATAAATACTTAACTACTTTAAGAGCTATATGTAAACAAAAGAGACCTAAATGGAGAGGACAAATCCGACTTTAAAGAGTTTGAACCTTGGCTTCTTAACATTTTTTTTATATATGTTTTATTAAGATGTCCTCTTTATGACGATTTTAGAAACCATTTATATTATTTTGTTGAAACTTTTAATGAAAATTTTTAATACTTTAAATGACAACCAAAATTAGTGTTTTTATTCTCAGTTATTCTCAGATGTAAATATGATTTATGTGTGTGCCAAAACCTGTTTCATATTGTTTGATGTACTTATAGATTATCGTTGATAATCTCAACGAGATTGATTTTCTCGCTTGAGCCGGTATGGCGAAAGTGAGAAAAGCAATCGAGTTGAGATGACCAATGATAATCTGTTTATCGCTATTTTACCTATGACGACGTTGTTAATTTCATTGACAACGGGCACGTGCTCCCTTAGTTTCTAGCGATAATTTTTCATATCACTCTACTGTGCTGAGAAAGGAAATTGTCAGTATACCGACGCACTCAGTACTGAGTGGGAATGCCCTCGGGGAATTGCACTACCAGCAGCGGTATCGACCCAATTTTAGAAAATGAAATATATATATATGTATATTTGCTGCGTCTGACGATTTTACTATATAAACCTTTAACAGGAATCGTTACGCCCAAATAATTAAGGTAGGTTAACTGTATACCGCCATCTTGGATTGTAAAATAGCCGTTGACAATAGGTCTAGTTCTTTATTTAAATCTGCAAATTTTAGACAGATTGGCAATCAATGGGTAAGACTGTTTATTAGAATAAAGAAAAATAAGTGATTTATTGCATTATTCAGACTGATTTATCAAATACCAAGTATTTGTGTGTGTTCGAATCGAATTGTCAACTGAGCCATTTAAGGGGAAATAACTCAAATAGTAAATTTTTTATAAAGGAATGATAAAAAATTTTAAAGTTTGATTTGTAGCAAAAAAGTAAACAACGACAGTGAAACAGTTTTACCTTTTATTTTCTTAAAGCATATCTTGTAACCTATCTTCTTATATTTTATTTCAAAATTCTATCTCATAGATTTTTTTTTTTTATTAACAAAAAAGTGTTTTTTTCATGAACAATCTATGCACATTTGGGCAATTATGCACGACTTGTAGCTTACAAAATAGCACGGTGACCCTTACTTTTTAATTTATTTTTGAAAAAGCAGGCAAAAATCTACATTTAACAAAAGTATAAGAAAATTTCATTCTGAGAAAATATATACCAATGTTCCACCTTAAACCATAGAAATACATAATCTGTGTTTGTATATTTGTTTGCATACGTTACGATATTCAAAATTACATGTGAGAGAAGTAGAAATGGGTGTCAATCAATGTGATAAAGTTCTTTGTTCACTGCTGTGACCTCGTTCGCGGGGTGATAAATTACATCACTACTCTTTACAACGAAATTTATCATATAAAGCTTTTATAAAACATTTATATAAATATCATGCAAACAGTTGTTTATTAATGTTTGGTGATATTAGCGGACTTTAAACCAACAAAATGATAAAAGTATTAACCAAATAGTATGCCATTCAAGCCAGAATATTGATGCATATTGCTAAATAGGCACTCGATTCGTTGTTTTATGAAATGTACATTGGTGTCAAAGTGAAATAGTATTTATTAGAAGTAATTACATCTGTGAAAAAGAATTTCAAAACCCTGAAAATACATGTACTTGTATCAATAAGTATAAATCTTTTATGCTTACTTAGTGAAATTATAACCAGTCTTACCTCAGTAATTCCGAAACGCTATATCATAGCACTTATTTACTTCATAGATATATCCTTGTTGACCGTAGCTCAAATGTGGTTGATTTTGATCGATTTCAAGATAATTTGAAAGCGTTGGTCGCATACATTATACGTGTTTAAACAAACTATTATAGGTATATGCAGTTTTAAATAATACACATCTGTTATGACAAAAGGAACTAGAGGCTCTAAAGAACCTGCGTCGCTCACCTAGGTCTATGTGCATCTTCAAAAATTTACAATCTTCAACATTGTGGACTTGAATAGAATTCATGACAAAAATCTCTTTTTGTTGATCTTGTATTGCTGATCATTTTTTTATGTTTACATTTTTTTTTTTCAATTTCCTTTTAATTTTAGTTTTTTCCCCCAAAGCGCAAAAGAGGGTTACAAAATCGTCATTTAAGGGTAATCACTCCTTTAAAGAGTCTCCTAACTATTTAGGTAAAATTTGACTTGTTTGTAGATCTTGTCTTGCTGATGTTTTTTGTTATCTAAAGTTTCTATCTATCTTTTATTCTAGTTTTTAAGAAAATAGACAAAAACGCCTAAAATTGGTAAAAAATCGACATTAAAGAACTAGAACTCCATGCTGAATTATTTGTAGATTTTGTATTGTTGATTATTTTTGCTATTTAAAGTTGTCTATCGTCCTATCATAGTTGTCAAGATAATAGGCAAAAACATAAAAAAACGCCATTAACGAGTCGACTGACGAATTCAGCCATAGACTTATTTGTAGACCTTGTCTTGTTGATCATTTTTGCTATTTAAGGTATCTATCTATTGTAAAAGGTAAGAAAATAGTCATTTTAGGACAATAACTGTAATAAGGAGTCGTCTGATGACTTCGGTAATGTTGACTTATTTGAAGATCTAATCTTGCTAATCATTTTTGATATTAAAGTTTCTCTTTCAGATATTCCAGACCAAAGGCAAACATGTAAAAAGATTGGTAAAATTCGTCATTTATGGACAAAAACTCCTATAAAAAGTCGTCTGACGGTTTTGACGTAAATAAGCTACATTTTGAAATTGCCTCTGTCAGATTTTCTTTATTATAGCGGTTGTCAAAATAATCGACAAAACTAGAATGTTGCGTTTTATTTCTAATCATGTAGGCCATTTTGGTAGGCAGGAGGGGTCATCATACTTATTTTGTAAACAAGATACCCAATGGTGATTGTGGCCAACTTTAGTTTTAAATTTGATCCAGTAGTTTCAGAGGAAAAGATTTTTGTAAAAGTTAACGGACGACGACGACGACGGACAACGGACGTCAAGTGATGAGAAAAGATCATTTGGACCTGTGGGAAAGGTGAGCTAAAAATATTACGAAAATATTACAATTCTTTTTTTGCTCCAAATTTGGTCTGTATTTATAGATGTAATTGTTGCATTTGTTTAGAAAAAATGCAAAAAATCAGCTCGGTTATTATAATATTAATATTATAGTGGAGAAATAATATTACCGGTAATAATTTTACTACACCAGGTGCAAATTTCGACAATAAATGTCTTTTCAGTGATGATCATGGCCAACAAATTTTAAAATCCAAAACTTATTCGGAAATTGAAGAGCTTATAAAACCAAAAATTGACAAGTTTTCCCAGGGGTAAAAATTGACAACAAGTTTTCCCAGACGTAAAAATTGACAACAAGTTTTCCCAGAGGTAAAAATTGACAACAAGTTTTCCCAGGGGTAGAGTAAGGTATTAGGAAACTCTGAGTAATATTCAGGACAAAAATATAACGAGTCTTACATGCAGCCAATAAGATTGTAATCAAATTTAGAAAATAAATATTGTAGAACACACCGTGCATGTGAACACACATGCGTCAATTTACTGATGCCAGTGTGTTCAGTCAATGATGTATTGCTTGCTTGGACCCAATCGAATTAAAATATAGATCTCTGATTTCGTCATACTCATCTTTCACGAGCACGCGAGTTCCGATTGATATGAATTTAAATCAGATTGCTTTGGATCTTCTATATATATATGTTCTATAAGCTATACATCAAGACGACATGAAGCTACTACGTTGTTTCATAGTGGGGGTGGGAGCTCACAACTTACAGAGACGGGGGACGCAAAATGAAGCTTACATGGCGCTGTAGATGTTCTAGGGTTCAAAATTTATTTCTCCTTAATATCTTATAAATTGTCAAACCAGTTACCTATATGAGTTGGTGTTCCTTCAGACACTTGTCAAAAACAAGAAGATCAAAGAAGCCATATCATTTAATTTCAGTTTCAGATATATTGATGATGTTCTTTCCATTAACCATCCAAACTTTTCTGATTGG